AAAAAAAAAAAAAAAAAAAAAAAAAAGATTTACTTTTTAATGAGACAGGCTCTTCAAATGAGTTAGCTCATATATTTGTGGTATTCTCTTTCCTCTCCATTCTGGATGACTGTGATATGATAAAACCCTTTCCTGCTCAGTTCTGGAAGAACTACCATTCACTGCAGAGATAAATCTTGGATTAACTACGTGGAAAAATTTCTGAAGGCATATGCTAATTTCCTTCATTTACAAGCAAAAGAGTAAATTAAGAGAATAAATGTGTTTCCAACTTTCTAGAGCGCCTGGAGCCGAGGCACTTCCCCCAGTTGTGCACAATGCTTCTGTCACAGAAGTCACATTTTGATGTTCAGAATAATGTACGAGCCCTAAAAAGCACGCTGGCCTGATTTCACACAATAATGCCAATCCACTTGCTACTTACCATTTTGAATCATGTAGTGCAAAATTTGTTCAATTACTGACACTATGTAGCTAGCATCTTGTAAAACAGGCAAATAAGTATTCTCAGATGAAAACACCTCAAGCATTCTCATTGGAAGTGCAACATTCAAGCTGTCGTCGCTACAGTTTTGCAGCAATCTGTAAAAATGAAAAACACACTTAGTGAATGGCAAATGTCACCAAAAGTTTCCCCAAATTACTCAGTTACTCAGGTGAGTATCTGAGCCACTCTGTTCTAGTACGGGAATATCTCTGAAAATAGGCATGGCTCAAAGACGGGGAAATGATCAAACATTCTATCATTCAGATTTTTTAAAAAAGAGCCCTTTTACGTGCCAAATAGTATGCTGGTAGTTAGTTAACAGAGATGAAAAATATGTAATCACAGAGGAAGAAATGAACAGAAAAATAAGAGATTACAAATACAGTGTGAGAAGTATTATAATCCATAGACTGTACCACAAGAAAATACATCTAATTCCACTCAGATAAGGATCTCAAACATATATCCTTCAAAGAGGCCTTCAATACTTTCCATGCCTGCAATATCCCAAAAGTAGAACAGACAATAACGTATTTCTTGTCCTAAGTCATCTATCATTTTGACTAAAACTTGCCTTCCTACTACAAGATTTATGGACAGAAGTAAAGGCTTAGCTGTTACAAAATAAGTCTTATTTTAAAACAGACATCTTTTCTTAAAATCAACTTTACAGACATAATTTACATACATCAATCTGCATTCATTTAAAGCGGGCAGTACAATGAGTCCAGACAGATCACACCATAATCAAGACACAGAACACATCTGTCACCCCCAGAAGTTTCCTCTTGGTCGTCTCTAGTTAATTCCTCCCTCCAACTCCCCCACCCCCACCCCCTTTTTTCTGTCACTATAGATTAGGTTGTACTTTCTGCTTTTTAAATTTATTTCTGTTGTTGTTTTTGGCAGCTGGCTGGTAAGGGGATCCGAACCCTTGGTCTTGGTGTTATCAACACCATGCTCCAATCAACTGAGTTAACTGGCCAGTCCTACTTTTTTAAATACAAGGACTCATACAGTATAGACTCAGTGTCTAGATTCTTTCAATCTGCATCTTTCTGAGATTCATCCAGGCAGGGGATCCGAACCCTTGGTCTTGGTGTTATCAACACCATGCTCCAATCAACTGAGTTAACTGGCCAGTCCTACTTTTTTAAATACAATGACTCATACAGTATAGGCTCAGTGTCTAGATTCTTTCAATCTGCATCTTTTTGAGATTCATCCAGGCAACAAGTGTCCAAAACTTGGCATTTTCATTGCTGAGTAGTATTCCACTGAATGGAAATACCTTGTGGGTTATGCATTCACATGTTGGTGAATATCTGGTTGTTTCCCGTCTTTTCCTATCACAAAGAAAGCTGTTGAATATTCAAGGAATAGGCTCTGTGTGGACTGCGCCTCATTTTTCTTGTGTAAATTCCTATATGTGGAGTCACTGGGTCACAAAGTAGCTATATATTTAACTTTATAAGCTGTAACCACCTGTGTTCCTTTTCTGTAACTTTCTTGCCTGGACAATAAAAACTAAGAAAAAACCTAATTCAGGGTTATTCCTAGGAATTCTCTCTTGAAGGCATCTTTCCTGGGATTAACCCCTTCTGGGCCTCTCACTGCTCTGAGGAAATGGGCTTTGAGTAATTCTTTGCGTCTCTGTCACCTCTCCTAGGTTACCAGTGTTGCTACTGAGGGAAAAACTGTGAAAGGGGGGGGGAGGTTACTGGGTGTCCTGCCCAGCTGCCCAGTGGGTTATGGCCACCCTGTTTCCCACTAGGCTACTATATGACTCTGTAGAGAAGGAAGTAAACTTGTAGAAAAGTGAGCCATGAAAATATTTCCATGCAGAGCTATACAAAGTACTCCTGTTCCTGACCATGCAAAAGGCTTTTGTCAGACAGAGAATACAAATTTAAGTGAGGCAAATCTTCATTTGAAACAGTTGTAACACGTTACTGGGTCCTCCACTACTTAGTAGTTAAATAAAACCTTTGACACACGTTCACTTTGAGAGTCTGATTTCACCTTTTTGGGAGAATAATATTTAACATTACTAAACCAAATCGTCAACTCTGATTTCACCTTGTTGCTCAGTTAGCAGCATCCATGCCCACTCCTCCCACTTCTACCCCCCTTCCCTGTGCTCTCTGTACTTTCGGGACCTCAGACTCTGTCTTCTTCCTGCTTGTCTTCTTCCTGCTTGCAGGTGGTTCCTCCTCTTCTCCACAGCCTCCTACAGTGGGGAGTGCCCCCAGGGATCTGTCTTGTTCTCTTCTACTCAATTCACTTAATACTGTGCAGTTTTATGTCCCCCAGCTCTTTAAAATTACTTCATCCTTCCAGCTGCTCAAACTAAAAACTTGCATCCATCTTTGACTCTTTGTTATCTTCTGTCATCAAATCCTGACTCTGCCAGAATCCACACCTGCCACTGCTCCCTGGCTGGACCCCTGATTCTGCCCTCACTCTCCCGCAGGCCCTTTTCAATACAGTAGCCAGAGAGCTTTTATTAAAATATAAATTGGAGGTATGGAGATGGAAGGGCTGCTCTAGATGGAAAAATTTAGAAGATATCAAAGGTAATGTGTGATCAAATAGATTCTGTTAAGAAAAGAAAAAAGAAAAACAGCTATAAAACACACTGTGAGGATAACAGGGGAAACTGGAAAATGGAGTATTAGACAATGTGACCAACCAGAGCCATTTTTGAGTGAAAGGGGCGCTATCACTGGGAACGTCAAGCCAGATTGCTGGTCCCCTTAGTATTGTTAAAATTATTCTGATCATGTTTATAGGTGTGACAATGGTATTGAGATTGGCAGGAGAGCATCCTTCTTCTGAGAGATGGGCATAGAAGTACTTAGGGAGTATTTCTGCTACTGTGCAATGATTCAGCAAAATGTTAAAAGCAGTCATCAACATCAAAAACTGTTGACTCCAGATGGCAGGAAAATGAGCACTTAGTGTACCATTTTCCTATTCTTTTATGTTTGAAATTTTTCAATAATAAAAACTTTAAAAGACACAGAAGAAAGAAAATTAAGGTCATGTCACTCTTTGCTAAAAATTCTCCTTTGGCATCCCTGCTTTCTCAGCATAAAGTCCAAGTTCTTAAAGAAAATCCCCAACAGACCATGAGAATCCATGCTGCCCTCTCGTGAACACCCAACCCCTGCACTCTAGGCTGGCTCTTGTCTCGGGCAGGTATACTCTTGTTAAAATTTTTTTTTTTTTTTTTTCCTTTTTTTTTTGTCTTTTTTC